CATACCTCATGGTCTATTATCTCAATTGGTTAGAGTTTTGTGCTAATAATGTGTTATGAAAGAAATTGTAACAACAATAGAATTTGAGAAAAAAATAATGAAGAAATGATTTCACTATGAAATAAAGGGAATACAAGATATAATAACTCCAAATAATATCTCAATCTCTACAAATACTTATGCATAAACTAATGAACAATCAAGCCTATTTATAGGCTTCAAGATTAGGAAGAGAATTTGAAAGGATTATGAACCATTAAAAGATGCATAAATAATTAAATAAATTGCATCATCCTTTCAATTTCTCATATTGAATGGTGAATTGAATCATATGAATAGTGGAGAATATGAAATAGACATTCATTATTTCATAAAACTAATGACTAATGTTGATTTTTGTTACAATAATCCACGTTTCATCCACAATGTTATATTTAAAGATGATAACATGAAAAAATGAACTCACGTAGGCTTAACCTTTCAAGACTACTTTGTATTGTTGTAATAATAATGTGGGTTTATTATTTGCATTATAAACTATCCAAATAGTAATGTAGTTTTTATATATGGGTTTTCTCGTACTATTAGATTGTATTTCAATCCAAATTGATAGAAAAAACGAATAACATGTGTTTCAGTTTGACTAGAGTCGGATGCCTAATTAAATAGATGAGAGGTTCACCTGTTTCATCACTGCCTATTCTCGACTTGATTTTTTAATTATTATTATTTTTTTATGGATTAGTAATTTTATTTTCAATGCAATGGATGGATTTTCATCTTTTAATTCGGTGGAGGATTTATATGGTTTTGTGCATAAGTTTGAAATTTAAATTCTATATCTAGATTGAATCGAGTATCTAGTGAATAACTATCATTTGGAGAAAGTCTTCCACAAGACCCGACCCAACTCGATTGGGTCGCGAGAAAAAAACAAGTGATGGATTTAGATATTCCGAATCAAAATGGATAGAGCAAAATCCAGATCCGACCTAATCTATTACCATCCATATAGTTGAGTAGTGGTATACAAGACATTCTAGCTACTAAGATTTTTTACTTTTAAATTCAAACAATCACCTTATATTTCCTATTGCATGCCCTAACTATGTTTCGATGTTTTTCTTACAATCGAGTATGTAAACCCAAGTCAAACATTGAAATGGTGCAATCTACCCATGCCGACATGAAAAAAGATTCAAGGACTCGCTCAATCCACAACTATAATATTTGAAATCCACCAATTCCTACTTTTTAAATCTAATTGCAAATGACTATTATGTTTAGATTAACAGGACATCATTTAAACAACCTATAATATAATGAAATTGTTTATGAAGACCTTAACTTGCATGATCATAAAAAATAAAAATTTGGCATATCAAAAGAACCAAAGGAAGTTGAAATTTACATTTAAAGAATCATTATTATGCATATTAGTTGATGAATATCATTGTTGGAATAATCAAGTAATTGGAAAACAAATTTATAGTAAATGGACCATTGGATCGGAACTCGGATCCAAACTACTTGTTATAAAAAGGATTTATCCATGTTAATCTATGGATTATTAACGAAAAAAATTAAATAATTTTTTTTAAAGCTTTAGTATTTCATAAGATTGTGTCGAAAAACATAAATAACAATTATTAAAAACTTACATAGAATTGAACAAATATTTTTTTTATTTAATATTGATGATGATATCAGCTTTTGAAAAAATGTGAATTTTATTTTTATATATTTATTTACAAAAGAATGAATAATATTAAAATTAAAAACTATATTAATTTGACTTTCAACTATTAATTAATTAATTTGAGTCTTTTTCTAAAAAAACGGAGAAAAAATTATTTGAAATACACTTTTAATCTAAAAATATATTTTAGACAAAATATGTATATTAATCATGCCACTATAATTTAAAAGTCATCTAAATCTATTTTTCAAAAGAAAAAATAATCATATTTTAAAAATTTATTCCAAAATCTATACATATAGAAAAATAAATGAAAATTATCAATAAATTAAATTTAAATTAATTGGATGAGAGTTAAAAAAATGACAAATTAAAGTAGCAAATTTTAAATAATAAACATAATTAACAAAAAATACTAAAACAAAATTGGATCAAATAACAATATAATCAAAGTTTGAAATTGAAAAAAAAAGAATTTAAAAAAAATGACCAACTAATGTAGTAAATTTTAAATAACATAAAAAAAATTATTTTAAAATTATTTTTGATCTAAAAATGTATTTCAGATAAATTATATATATTAATCATGCCACTATAATTTAAAATTATCTAAATCTATTTTTTAGAAAATAATAATTATGTTTTAAAAATTTATTCCAAAATCCATACATGTAGAAAAATAAATCAAAATTGTAAGTAAATATAATTTTAAATTAATTAGATGACAATTAAAAAAAATAACAAATTAAAGTAGTAAATTTTAAATAATAAAAATAATTAAAAAAATACTAAAAAAAATGAGACCAAATCATAATATAATCAAAGTTTGAAATTGAAAAAAGAAGAGAATTTAAAAAAATGACAAATTAGTGTAGTAAATTTAAAATAATATAAAAATCAAGAAAAAAATTATTTGAAATATACTTTTAATCTAAAAATGTATTTTAGAAAAAGTATATATATTAATTATGCCACTATAATTTAAAAATTATCTAAGTCTATTTTTCAAAAAAAAAAAAATCATGTTTTAACAAATTAGTGTAGTAAATTTCAAATAATATAAAAATCAAGAAAAAAATTATTTGAAATACAATTTTAATCTAAAAATATATTTTAGAAAAATTATATATATTAATTATGCGACTATAATTTAAAAATTATCTAAGTCTATTTTTCAAAAAAAATAAAAAAATCATGTTTTAAAAATTTATTCCAAAATCCCTACATATAGAAAAATAAATCAAAACTGTCAAGTAAATATAATTTTAAATTAATTAGATGATAATTTAAAAAATGAGAAATTAAAGTAGTAAATTTTAAATAATAAAAATAATTAACAAAAAATATTGAAACAAAATTAGATCAAATCACAATATAATCAAAGTTTGAAATTGAAAAAAAAGAATTTAAAAAAAATAAAAAATTAATTTATTAAATTTAAATTAATATAAAAAAATCAAGAAATATTTATTTGAAATACACTTTTAATCTAAAAATTTCTTTCAAAAAAAAAAATATTAATCATGCAAGTATAATGTAAAAGTTATCTAAATCTATTTTTCAAAAGAAAAAATAATCATGTTCTAAATTTTGTTTCTAAAATCTATACATATAGAACAATAAATCAAAACTATCAGTAAATATAATTCTAAATTAATTGGATAAGAATTTAAAAAAATGATAAATTAAAGTAATAAATTTTAAATACTAAAAATAATAAACGAAAAACACTAAAATAAATTAGGAGCAAATCACAATATAATTAAAATTTGAAATTGAAAAAAGAAAGAGAATTTAAAAAAATGACAAATTAAAATAGAAAATTTTAAATAATAAAAATAATTAATAAAAAATATTAAAACAAAATGATATTAAATTATAATATAATTAAAATTTGATATTGATAAAAAAAAAAAAAGAACAAAGTGTTATAAAAATATCATGATCATAGATTAACGTGTTAGTAAATCACATTGGCATTGGCTAGGAAATTGCTACCCCATTTGTTTATTCGATGTACTACTCTATTAACGTGTTAGTTAATCACATTGGCATTGACGTATAGATTAGTTGACTTTGGCTGTTGCTACTTAATTTGTTTCTCAAAATGAGTTGCTAGTCTGAAATACATATTTTTCTTCTTGTTTGTGGCGGATGGAAACAAAAAGCTGCTGCCTTTGATTGTCTTCACACTGTAAGTCAACAAACCAATTTTTGTTAGCTTCATTTATTTATCTGAGAATTTGTTAATGGGTTTATGGTTTTTGTGTTCTGTTGATTGATATGTGAGTTGGGTTTGTTTTCTTTTGGTTGTTTCCATAAGAAAAATCATTTTTCTTTTTATCATTTTCGTTAATTATCGCGAGGCATTTGATTCTGCTCAGGTAAAAGGCATTTTGATTGGGTTACAATCAATTTCTGTGCAGAGATTCGTAATATTATTACGTGAACCAAGTTGGATCTCAAACTTGCTTGAAAAAACGTGAATCATTTGTCATATGCAAATATTTCTTCCTTCATTTCTAATATGATCTGTGTGAATCTATGCCATTTTTTGTTTTTGAATCATTAAAGACTTGATCTCTTGTTTGTTTTTACGTGTAGCTGTAGTGAAATAGATTGTTGTTCGTTGTAAATTCTTAGCAAATCCAATGTAGAACAAAGTTTTTTAAACTTGATTTATGCAAGTGATTGAACCTGAACTTAAATTTGGGCTTGGTTTCTTTAGTTTGCTTATTTGTGATGGAAAATTTCCCAGTTGGTTTTATCCACAACTAGTTAAAAGGATGAATTGTCGGATGTAATGACAGATTTGACGCTTTTGTTTTTGGCGTTTTTGGTGGTACAGTGATCAAATAACGGAAATAAAAATGCTTAAGATATGTTGATGATTTGCTAACTAACAGGGTCCATATACAGTTCATGGGATCTTGGAAACTGTTTGGGAAGTTTTAAGCACCTTTAGTGAACCTGAAACTGATGGGTCTAAAGCAAGTTTTTAATAAGCTAAAGTCATGGGTGTGATTCTTTCTCTTATAACCCGACCTATTGCAGCATAACTAGCCAGCAGAGAGGATTATAGTAGAATAATATTTTCAGACAGTACATTAGCAAAGAATGCAATGTTTTGACAAGAGAAAAGAAAAGAACTGAAAATACTTACCTGATATGTTTGTTGGATTATTAGATTTTGGTGTTTTATTTTTGTTAATGTTGTTTCTGCTGCTGCTGATCTATCTCAAGATTGCTTTTTTTTTTTTTCTTTAAGGTTTTGCCGCACTCAATCTTGTAATTGTTCAATATGGCTTCTTCTTCTTCCAATGCTCCTCAATGGAAGTATGATGTGTTCCTTAGTTTCAGAGGTAAGGACACACGTGATAACATTACTAGCCATCTTTATGATGCTTTGTGCCGTAAACAAATCAAGACTTTCAGAGATGATGAACTTGAAAGAGGTGAAGACATTACACCTGCACTTTTGAGAACGATTGAAGAGTCAAGAATTTCAATTGTAATATTCTCAAAAAATTATGCATCTTCTTCTTGGTGTGTGGATGAACTGGCGAAGATACTTGAATGCAAACAGAAATACGGGCAGATTGTTTTTCCAGTTTTCTATCATGTAGACCCTTCTAATGTCGATGAACAGACAGGGAGTTTTGGAAATGCATTTGCTGAACTTGAAAAAAATTTTAAGGGGAAGATGGACCATGTGGAAAGATGGAGGGCTGAATTGACAAATGCAGCCAATATATCGGGATGGGACTCACAGATCATTAGGTAAATAGCAATTCTCTCTTCTACTTGTGTTTTTAATGGTTTCAAGGAAGCATATGAAACAACTATTTATGCCATTCTTAGCTTGCCCACAGTATGGGGCCCCTGGTTTAGGTAAACCAATAGCATCTCATTCCCATAAATATATCCTAGGTTGTGCATAGTTTGGGAAAAATTGTGTGCTTTGCACATGTAAGAAATGTGCTTTCATATAAATTACAGCAATTTTTCTGTATGTAACACTGCCTTACCTGTGTAAAGTTTTTCATAATTCATACTGTTCCTTTTTTAACTTTTTTTCTGCTGTGCAATTTCTGTCTGTTTTGTTTATTTAGCAATAATAAAGAGATTCCTATGGATTTCCTTCATGTTTAGAGTCTTTATTTAATTCTTTTAATTTGAGACCTTGACTCATTTCCCTATCACTATGTTTCTTAATAAAAGCTTCTTTGTCCAAGAAAGAAAAAGAAGCACAGCATGCACACTTCATGCAAAAAGTTGTAGAAATTCACTTGTAAGGAAAAAAAAAAACATTTTAACGTTCGATAAAATAGGCGAACACAAAGTAAATAATACTTTGTTTCCGTATTTTATTAAAGGAGGTTTTGCTTGAGTTCGCTGAGGAGCTGCTTTCTCATAAAATATGAGGATGTACCCTTTTAACAGGTCACATTATTTAAGTTGGGTGCAGCATTGCATAATCATGAGTCTTTCTACCTATTAGCTTAAAACTTTGGATTGGACGTTCAAACATGCAAATAGTGCAATTGTTGTTGTTCTGTTCTTTGGTGTCATTGTATATCGAGCTAGGCCTGCTTCTGTTCATGGCTTCTGTTCATGGTTATCCAGTATATTGTGGATATGTGGTTCTCTTCAGCTAACACATGAGCAGTGTTGAGCAATCATATTGGTTACTTACATATTAACTTTGGCATGACTTTAAGTCAATGTAATTGCTTCAGCTGAAAAGCTTTTGTTTTTCTTAGTCTTGACAGGAAAATATTCCTTAAATAAAATCTTAAATGACTATCTTTCTTGGAAATCAATCACAAGCTTATTTTATTATTTTTCTGTTTGACATCTTACAAAATCTCCCTTCTATGAAATTTTATATGACTTGTAAAAAAATCAATCATGAGCTATGCTTAAGAATTGTGTAAGTTGATAAATTTGTTTTCCAGCTGACAGCTTTTTAAACCAACACTTGAAGTGCCTGTTGCTTCTTAAAGAGTTTTTTAATTGCCTTTATTTTTCCTATTTAGATTTATATTTATTGTTTAGTTTAAGTCAGCTAGGGTTCTGGACCTATAAAAGGAGCACCAATCCATGTAATCGGCAGAGGACTTTGAATAATGGAATTATGGGTATTAGATGCACTCTTTTCTTCTTTCACCTCTCCTTCTGTTCTTGCAACAGTAATCTCAAATTACTATTCATAAAAAATCACAATTTCACCCGAAATGCATCCTTAATCAATATCGATTCCACATTCCTTATACATCAAACCCTAGGACATGAATCTAAACTTTTCCTACTTCAGTCACAGCAGTGCCATTTTTGTGTTTGTATCATCTTTGAAATCATCAGTAGAATTATTATGACATGGTTTCAATGCCCCTAATGTCGTGATTTGTGTAAAATAGTTTTTATCATGTTCCACATTGAAGTGGCCATTTAACAGAGGGCAACTGGGCGAATTCTATTGCAGTTAAAGTTTTTCATGCTTAGATCATATTTATTACTTTAAAGTACCTTTTAATAACTGATTGTCATCATTATAAAGTTAATACTAATTTTCATCTCATACATTGTATTTTCCGTTGTGAACTTGACTGAAAATAAATTATCATAATTGATAGAACCTATTGTTTGTGATGTCATAGCTTACTTTAACTCATCAATTTGAAGCTTGGCAGGTTTTCGGCACTCTTAAAAGTTGGCAAATTAGCAGAATAAACAGGAACCATGCACGCACATTCAAATTTAGTAAAAGAAACTAGATGTGTGGGAAGTAGATTTAACATAAACCTTGCATTAACTTGACTTCGTTTGTCTTACATTTTTACGTACAAATATTAGTGCTTTATATTGGCAGGCCTGAATCCGAGCTTGTCAACAGGATCGTGCAACATGTTTTGAAGAAATTGAATTGTATTTCCTCAAGTGATTCAGAGGGCCTAGTTGGAATAGATTCGCGCATTGAAGATGTCAAAGCAAAATTATGCATTCACTTACCAGCTGTTCGCATAATTGGAATCTGGGGCATGGGTGGTATAGGTAAGACAACCATTGCTGAAGCTGTTTTCAACAGCATCTCAAGTCAATATGAAGGTTGCTACTTTGTTGCTAATGTTAGGGAGGAATCAAAAAACGCAATGGATTAGTTCTTTTGCGACAAGAGTTTCTTTCCAAAATATTAGAGGAAGAAAATTTACTTGTTGGCAATCCACGTGTTCTGCCGGCTTTCATTAAGGAAAGGATCCTCCACCAAAGGGTTCTGCTCGTTTTTGATGATGTGGATGATGAGGATCAGTTAAGAATTTTGATTGGAAGGCGTGATATGTTTGGTCCAGGAAATAGAATTATTGTAACATCTAGAGACAGGCAAGTGCTGAAGAAAGAAGCTGATGTAATATATGAGGTTGGGGGATTAATTGACCATGAAGCTATTCATCTGTTTAGTTTGAGTGCCTTTAAAGAAAACGAGCCTCAAGAAGACCATATGGAGCTATCAATCAAGGCAATAAATTATGCCAAGGGAAATCCGCTAGCCCTTAAAGTCTTGGGTTCCTTTCTTTTCAGCAGGAGTAAGCAAGAGTGGGAGAGTGCATTGAATAAGCTTGACAGTATTTCTCTACCTAAAATTCATGATGTGTTGATGATAGGCTTTGATGAACTAGATGATGAAGTGAAGAGTATATTTCTGGATATAGGATGTTTCTTTAAAGGGCAGAGTATTGATTTAGTTAAGGGAATACTTGATGGTTGTGGTTTCTCAACTGACATTGGAATTAGCATTCTTGTTGAAAAGTGCTTTATTGTAGTCTCAAATGGCAAACTTTAAATGCATGATTTGCTGCAAGAAATGGCTCATGAGATCATTCGACGAAGATCTGCTATGGAGCTTGGCAAACGCAGTAGATTATGGGATCCTAGTGATGTTTATAAGGTTTTGACCAAAAATCTGGTGAGATTCATAGCCATTTAATGTTGATTCCTTCCTTCCCTCTTCCCCCCACTATGATGTATACTATGTTCATATTTGAGTAGCTCTTTATTTTTTAAACTCCACATATATTTCTCTGATGGAAAACGTTTTGTGGCATGAAATTCATTCAACAAATTGTGACACTACTTAATCACCGCCCTTGACTTGTGGGACCCACACAATGGCCCCATAAAAATGGTGTTAATTAATTCATGCCACCATTCATGGCAATCCTTATTTAACTCATGCTTTATTCTATCTTTTTTTGGGTTGCCTAGGGAACTGAAAAGGTTGAAGGCATATTCCTGGATATTTCTAAAACAAGGGAAATGGAGTTATTGTCTTGTGCCTTTGCAAGGATGCATAATCTTAGGTTGCTCAAAATTTATAATTCTGGAGTTGGAACTAACTGTAAAGTGGAACTTCCTCATGGTCTTGAGTATCTTTCTGATGAGTTAAGGTATCTCCATTGGGATGGATATCCTCTTAGGTCTTTGCCATCCAATTTCCAACCAGAGAATCTTGTTCAACTTGACTTGTCATTTAGCAAGGCTGTGAATCTTTGGACAGGAGTCCAAGTATACCTAGATAACTGTGAATTTTCGCTTACTCTCTCTTTAATGAATTTTTAAATTTATATATGCCGATTTTCAGTTTCTTTTGTTTTCTCGCAGGACCTTGTAAATTTAAAAGAGATCAACCTTGGCAATTGTGAGCATCTAGTTGCAATTCCTGACCTACAACTTGCCACAAATCTTGAGAGTTTGAAGCTTCATTTCTGCGGAAGTTTGGAAGAGGTTCCATCATCCATTCAGTGTCTGAACAAACTTAGTGAATTGGATATGAGATACTGCAAAAGCCTTCACAGCCTTCCAAGCAGCTTTAGTATGACTTCTCTTAAGACGCTTAAGCTTTCTGGCTGCTCTAATCTCAAACAGTGTCCTGAGCTTTCACGGTCCATAACATATTTAAATTTAAGTGAGACCACAATAGCAGAGCTCCCCCAATCAATTCAGCATCTCACCAGACTTGTTTCATTGAATCTAAAGGACTGCAAAGAACTTAAGAAGCTTCCTGACTGCATCTGCTTGTTGAAATCTCTTGCAACTCTCGATCTATCTGGCTGCTCAAAAATCTGGAACCTTCCAAATGTTTCAAAGAGCATAAAACATTTATATCTGAGTGAAACTGCAGTGCAAGAACTTCCCTCTTCCCTCAGTGCTCTCTCAAGCCTCCGTGAATTGGATCTAATGAACTGTACAAGGTTTAAGAGTCTTCATATTAGCTTTGGGACGTTGACTTCTCTGGAAAAACTTATTCTCTCTGGCTGTCCAATAATGGAAGTTCCCTCATCAGTCCAATGCCTCACCAAACTTGTTGAGTTGCATATGCGAAAATGCAAAGCTCTTAAGACTCTCCCAAACAGCATCAGTAGGTTGAGATTTCTTGAATACCTTGATCTCTCTGGCTGCTCAAGGCTTAAGAGGCTTCCATCAATCCCAGCTAATGTGGGATATCTTTATCTAGAAGGAACAGCCTTGAAACAGCTACCCTCTGGACAGCTAGATTGGCTATGCTGTTTGGAATCAGGAAACCTCAAAAACCTTGTGAAATTGCCTGAGTTGACCAATGCCAAATATTTGAGAAAACTAGATCTAAATGGTTCAATATATTAGAAATCCCAGAATTTTTCTGCAATATATGCACTTTGGAGTCATTAGATCTAAGCAGAAATGATTTTGAGACTTTACCCGCAAATATCAATCAAATGACTGAGTTGAAATACCTTTTCTTGATGGAATGCGGAAGGCTTAGATCATTACCACAACTTCCACCAAAATTAACAAAATTAGATGCCAACAATTGTGTATCATTGGCAAGGATATCGAGGCCTTCAGATGCCCTTGTGCTGGAAGGAAAGATATTTGGATTTCACTTCACTAATTGCTTCTCATTGAATAAGAAAGCACGCAGAGTCATCGTGGTATATGCCCTATTGAAGTTCCACTACTATGCAAAAAGTCTAAGCGATAAGGTTTGTCTCCTTCACCCTTCTATCTCTCCTAGTCATCACTCGTAGGTGTTAAGTAGGATCTTGTTTTTCTGCATGCAGTTTTCTATTGTACCGCCAGGCACTTCCACTGTTTACTTCCCTGGGGAGGAAGTTCCACGCTTGTTTCATCATCAAACATGGGGATCTTCAGTGGCGATCCAGTTACCTTTGCACTTGGGTGATAGCACGTTCTTGGGTTTTGCTCTATGTGCTGTTGTTACATTTGACGACTACTTGGACGAATGTGGTTTCCAAGTTAAATGCGAGTATCATTTCAAGAATAAGTATGGTGATTGCCATAATCTTTTCTGTTATGTTGAAGGTTGGTATCATGAGAAGCATAGAAGACTTCTGGGGTCGAATCATGTATTCCTGGGGTATGATCCTTGTTTTGATGCTGCTAAAGACAATTTGTTCAGTAAATACTGTTGCAATGAGGCCACAATCAAATTCTTCCCTGAAGATATGGACAATAACCCTTTACATTGTTGCAAGGTGATCAAATGCGGGGTCCATCTAGTATATGCTGCGGATGAAAACTCCTACCCTTCCAGGGTTGTCCAACCAAGCTTTCTTTACTGGACTTCTTCGGCGCCAGTTTATTATTACCACTGAGTGGTTCTTTGCCAGTTCTTGTCACGGGAGCTATGGAATTTCATATGGTTTTCTCTCTCCACTGGTTGGTAATCTCTCTATTATCATTGACAGATTTATTATATGACAGTTTTTAATTGAACTGGAATATAATTCTAGTTTGATTGGTGGAATATTTTCAAATTTTACCATATCAAATAGGTAATGTTCTTTTCATATATTGAATTTTGAAATTTTATTCTTTAGATGAGTTCCAACTAGAGGTTCTCGTGGAATGATCCAGTTTACTAGCACTGTTATATTACAAGTGTTGTTTAGGTGATCTCTTCTTACTTTGGTGGGTAATATTTCTAATTTAGAATTATTGTGGAAAACATTGCAAAATCGTTCTTCAACTTTAATGGTTTTTTTTCCTTGTGTGAGAAAATTGAGTCTTTAGACACCCCACCAATCCATGGTCATTGTTTGACTTTTAATTTTCACACCAAAACTGTAGCATCAGGTACTTGCAATGTGCCTAAAGAGTTCAGTTTTAACGCATTGATGGAACTGCAGTTTATCACACTTTTCTGCTGACTTCTTATGACTTTCTTCATCCCTTTTTCTTTCGTGCGGTTGTAATTGTTTCTTTCTTTTACTCTGGATTAAGCAGCAATTTATTGTGATTTACTAGCAAGAACATGAAACATCATCGCATATGGATACGATGAGAAGACTGGAGAAGCTTGGGGATTAAATCTAGGAATGGCTACAGCATGGGAAGGGGCATTTGTTCGATGTTTTTGTAAAGTTTCCGGTGGTACTAAATGAACCAATTTGATTATTCTCTTTCCGGGGATTAAATTTGATTATTTTCCTTCCCTAGCCCGCGTATGTAATTGAAACTTTGTTACAAGCCATTGGGCTTGTGGTAGTATTGGATTGTTCGGCCTTTACAATGGTTGACCTCAGTCTTTATTTATATGAACCCCTCGAGAAGGATCAGAATTCGGAGGTTCGTAATGGTCTATTTCCAATTGCTTTCTCGTCTACGTTCTTGGTGATGGAAGAAAAACAATAACAACAATAACCTAAAAAATATCAAGCTAGGCAGGGGAATAATTTTTCCTCCTACTCTTGAGCAAATCTAATAGAAAACAATTATGTAGAACAACATAGCAATTCAAATAAAACATCTTCAATGACACATAAACACAAGCCAATTTTAACGTGAAAACCTCCTTGATGTGAGGAGCAAAAATCACGTGATTGTAGTCCATCGAAAACTCCACTATGATTTAAATAATGGGTTCACAAACTTCTTCTCTAATTCTCTAGAAACATACATCAACATTATCATCAAGAATAACTATCTTGAAATAACAATGTAATACTCGATATCTCGCTAAAACCGATATTTAATACATTTAAAAATATTAAAAGCATATGAAAAATATTTTTTGAGGTTGGCATGATCTTAAAAGGGTATTTGAATATTTAGAGTAGTTAAAATAGTTTTTCATGCTTAGAGAATATTTTGTTGATTTTTCGATGCTTGAATAGTGACTTTTTGTGTGAAATAATTATTTTATGCATGATGAATGTGCATGAAAAATATTTTGTTTGCATAGAATATTTTCTAGAAGGGTGTTAGATTATTTGATGATGTTGGATGAATTTTCTAATAGTTAGTGAATATTTTATTTGAGATTTACTATACATAAATAGTATTTTTGAGGTAAATTAATTATTTGAGTACTTTAAAGATGTGAGGAATTTATTTTTATGAACATAGAAAAAACATTGAGTATGTGTAGGAATATTTCATGAATTTAGATGAATTTTTCTATGCATAAGGAATATTTTTTTATATAGGAAATAGTGTATTTTTAACACCGAATAATTAATTTGAAGCCCTAAATAAGTATATAAAAATTATGTGAATGATTATTAAATTCTTTTAGGAAGTGTTTGAATTTATTATTAAAATAAATTGATTTTTGGAAGGGTATGGAATAGAACTCTAGAGTTAGGATCTAATTGCATAGAAATTAGGAACCTAATTGCATAAAATTAAAAGTTTGAACTTTCAAATTAAATTAGATATGAACTTTAAGAGTCAAAAAGTTGTTAGTGAATTTTTAAAGAAAGGGCCTAAAGTAATCAATTGAATAATTGAAGGACTTACGGAGGAGTAATTAGAGAAAAGATTACTAACTTTTTGGACCAAATTAAGCAACTTTTTGGAGGAGTTTATCCACCTCTTTGCCGCCCGTTTCTACTCAATAATTAGGGTGTAATTAATGCATGTACAAATGAATGGATTAGATTAAAAGAGAGTGGTTAGATGGAGGGACAAAATTTAAAGACTAAATGGATGGTTAGGATTAAACCAATTGAAAGGTTAGAATTAAAAGAAAAATTAAGGGCTAACATTAAACCAAATGAAGGGTTGTGATGGAGTCAATCAAAGGGAAAGGTCCACCTAATTTGCTTATAAATATGGGTGGTAGAAATTATGAAAAAAATGTTAGAAAATTGAAAAATTTAGGGGAAACTCTTGCAAATTTTCCCTAGGACTCCATCCAAAATTTTACCTAAACACTCTAAATCACTTAGTTAAACAAATAATTCAAGCTAGAAGGGCAAGGATCATCAAAGGGGAAAAATAAAATTTGGGCCGAAAATTGGAGCAAGGAAGAGGAAGATGAATTTTCCAAATAATTCAACTTTCTAAAGGTTAATTAAAGCTTGTATACGTAAGTTAGTCTCACCTACACTACAAGAAATGTTTTAATTGATGCTAATTGATTTTTGCATGCTTTAATTTGTTTTTATTAGCCTTAATTTTGAAAATTAGGGTTAGAGTTCTTAATGAGAAAAAATTAGAGAGAATAAAATTAAGTTAGAAATTCATGAAATTTAAGTGAGAACATATGAATTGAGCTTAAAATTAAGATTTAGAAATAAAAAATTCCTAGGGTTAGGAAGCACCAAACTTTCAACTCAAAATAGCAAATTAGGGGTTTTTTATCCTTTGGTTTAATTGATGTTATGTGGCTTGATTATGTGTTAATTAGGTCTAAATTGATGTTTGGAAATGAAAATTTGCATTAAAATTGAAGAAATTTCATTGAATTGTTTAGGAAAGCATTCAATTCCAAATTTTCAATTTTTAGGGTTCCGATTCCTTCACTTAATTCTTGAATTATTGGTTAGTTGGGGTTGAATAAGTGTGATTTGATGAATAAAAGTGAAAATTTTCATAATAATTGAAGAATTTTACCTTATTTATCTTAGGTCTAAATTGGGCCTAATTAAGAGAAAAATTAGGGTTTAGGTGTTTTTCAATGTTTAAAGGTTGAATTGATCAATTTGAAGATAAAATCATCTAATGGAATGAATTAGAATGAGAAATTACATTGAAAATGAGAATTTAGCCTAAATAACCTTAACTAAGGTTTAAACCCATTTAGGCCCAATTTAGAGTTTATGCCTTTATTTGATTAATGAATAATTAAGTTAGCTCTTAATATTGAAGTGTAATTGAATGAGATTGCATGAAAAATGAGTGTGGAATTTGGAATAAAATACTAGGTTTGAATTTTGATAACATTTGGCCTAAGCTAGAAATTTTAGGGTTTATGTGTTGTTTAATTGTAATTTAGTTTCTTTTAATGTTATTTGATGTGTTTATAATGTATGAAAGTTATGATGATGATGATTATGGAAATGTATTTCCTTGCATGATATGATGATGTTATTGTTTATAATGTTATGGATTGATGTTAATGAAATAATGTTTATAATGCATTTTATGTTATTGAATTATGCATTATCATGACATAAATGGATCTCATTCATGGCATGCATTTCATGAAATAATAATAGTTATACATTTCCAATAAAATGCATGTACATGTCAAGTTTATGGAAATGACTTAAAAGTCATGAGAAAGAGGATTTTATGTCAAGGATTTTTCAATAGTAATTGGAAAACATTTTATGGTTATACAATTTTCATGATTTTCAAGGTAAAGGTTTTCATAGTTTTATGAAAGTGGCTTCATGGGTTCCATGGCTTTCATGATCCATGATTCATGATTCATGATTCATGGTTTGCATGGGTCGAGTGGTGTAGACATGCACCAAGGCTCGACAGGGCCCATCCGTAGACTCGGTATGGTTCGTCAAACATTTCATGGAAGACCCTAAAGTGCTTATAATGGGACATATCCAAAGACAGAAAAGATTTTTCAGATCGATCATAAAAAGGATTTGATATGAGCATGCAAATGATTTCCTTATGCATTTCATTACATGCATAGCATGTATAGATTAACTTACTAAGCTATCACTCACTTAGTGTTTCTTATGGTGTAAATAATACATGTAACCATAGCATAATTCTCCGCCGAGTTGATTACCGAGGGATGCACGCAACGTGTATACATTGGATTTGGTTTTGGTTTTCGAGTTGACTCGTTACATGTTGTCTCCTTTTTGGTACCGGGTATCACGAGTGTATGCGCTAGGATTAGTTAGTTTGTTTTATGCTATCCTTAAAGCCATGAACAAGTGAATAGGATGCAAGTAATGTGATATAGATAAATGAATAAGCCACTTTTGTAGTATGTGGCATTGAACTAGTTTTGTATATTAAGGACAGCTTTGTATATAAACTAAATATCAATAGTGAAATAGTAGGGTAATCATAGCTAGCATAGTTTATTTAAGTTATTTTTATACATGCCAAGCATCGTAGTAGAATAAGAAAACAAAAGAGATAAGGAATTAATCATAAAAAATAGTAATTACAAAAAATGAAAGAAATTAAATATCGAATAATGAGTAATAATCAAATGAATTTATATCGACTAATAGAAAAAGAATTTGAGAAAAATGATTGACATGGATTCAATCATTTCAACCCAAGTAATTCAAATAAAATAATAAAATGCAAAAAATTAATAAGTGCATTTTGGATCGTAAGATAAGACCTAATAGTCAACTAGTAAACTTCTGCAAGCATATTTCATACTTAAGAATAAAAAGTATAAGTCACGAGTGCATTATTAGCTTCTATTCATTACACTTCGAATATAGATAACGGCGGTAATATTTTTTACCTTCTACATCCTAGGTCGGAGGTGTTACAAATAACCGATGAAAGAGATCAATATGGATAAATCTCCTCAAGTACAGCTTACTACTTATGTCCAAAAACTTGATGTAGGGAGCTTTAATTGACGATCCGACCGTTTATGTTGAAGAACCGTGAGTCATGAGTATGCTCGTCAAAATTTCAGATCAATCACACCACTAATCAATATTCGATCTTCATTTTTATGAAACTCTTGCAGCTTTCCAAAAATCCAGATTTTCTTCTTTTCTTATTTGCTCTCTCTCTCGCGGGCGCGTTTTCCCCTTATTTTCTTTGAAGTTTATTCTTGCACTTCAAGCAGCAACCAAAACCTATTTATTCAAGTTTTGAACCTCAATTATTGGGCTTTTCTACACATAAGGAGTGACTTAGCCCAACAAATCTCCTCCTTACGATGATGTGGAGGAATCCGTCATTTTAGCAATAAAACGACAATGTTCAAGCTTCTCTCTTGGTAGTGTCTTTATCATCATATCAGAACCATTATGGTTTATATGGATTTTCTTTGAAAACCTTCTTGATGTACTTCTCTTGTGATAAGAACAATTTCTTTGCATTTCTATCTCAAGTTATTCCGATGCCAAGAATCTGCTTTGCTAGGCCTAAGTCTTTCATGGCAAAAGACTTGCTTAAGAGTTTCTTTAATGACTCAATTCCTAATGCCAATAATCAACATATCGTCAACAAATAGCAAGAGGATAATAAAGTCATCATCAAATTTTTTTGAACAAATACATAATTATTCGAAGTAGTCCTTTTATAGCCATTCTCTTCCATAAATGACATAAAATTCTTATACCATTATCTCGAGTGCTCGCTTTAAGCCATAGAGACTCTTCTTCAACTTACACACAAAATCCTCTTTTCTTTTCACCTTAAAACCATTTGGTTATTTCATATATATATACATATCTCTT